AATCTCATCATTGTGACCCATCCTATGTGCACTTTCTTCCTCTGTCTCCCCTCCCCCAATCTACACACAAACACGACAATACCCTCATCAGTGTTTGGATTTGAAAATAGCTGTAAACTGCAAATACAATTGATTGTTGAGAAATAACTTAGTTGCTGCACTGGTAATAAATATGTGCTTTTCTTAAATGTATCAGGAATCTGATTTTCTAACAGTGCTCTTCATCTCTGCTCAGGAATACTGTCCTCTTTGACTGTAAAGAATAAGAAGGTCTGTATGGCTAGGGACAAAAGTTGCACATGAACCAGTTTAAGTGATCAGAAACTGGTTTAAAGCTGTAACAGAACAGAAGCTCACTGCACATAAACCAGTTTCAAAATGGCCAAAATTAGTTTAAGATAAACTTGGTTGAATGTAGTATCAGATTTAACTGATTTGCGTCAAACTGGTTTATGGAACTTCTGTTCCAGACCCTTTACTGGTTCAAGTTAAATCACAGTCCCCCAGCATCCCAATATGCTTTGCAGCCCTGGGCTGGGCTGGGCTGCCTACTGGAGCAGAGCAGGGTTGGCCCTGCCCCTCTGCTCTCTATCTGAAGCAGTAAGGGCTGGCAGACAAAGGGATGGGTGTGCTGGGGACGCAGCCCGGTCTGCCTGGTGGGGGTGAAGCAGCCCCTGCCAGACTTTTTCCTGCTGGAGTGCAGCGGCTGGGGGCATGGGACAGACAGAGGGGGATTAAACTCCCCCGACTCCCCACTCCCACTACCAGGCACCCCAGCTGGGGTGCTCCCAGCTTTTTACCCCTGCTCATGGCTCAGCATGACCCAGGACTGCCAGAGTCCTATTTCCAGCAAAGGGGTGATCCTGCTGCACCTTTTGAGCCACAGAGGTTGGGGTTTTGCTTGGGGCTGGATCGGGAGGGAGGGTAATGGCTCCAAGCCCGGGTGCAGACATGCACAAAGAGATTGCAGCAGCGGCTGCATCCTGGACATGAGCCCCACCAAGAAGAGGGACCTAGGCTTGGGGGTGGGGGGACAGGGAAGGGGCTTGAGTGTGTCTGCGCTAGCCCATGGCAGAGCCGAGCCAAGCATGCAGCTGAGGGAGCAGCTTCTGCCTGGCAGCCCCTTCTACATACTGGAGAGTGTCACCCGGGCTGGCCCCAGCCCCTGCAACAGTACCCTTAGCTCTGAGTGCTATTGCCTGCATCCACCAGGCCACCAGGTGCCAAGCTGGGTGTGTACTGCTAATGCTTCCCTTACCTGGCAGTGGTGGCACAGCATGGCCCCATGTACCAGGCTACAGGCACAGGGTACTATCCCTATGGCTTCCCCACTGCTGCTGCCATCAGGGAGGCCCGCCCTGGCCATACCGGTAGGTGCCGCCTGAGCCGCTGAACTGCAGTCAGCCACTGGGTGGGCAGACAGTGGCAGTGGGGAAGCTGTAGGGGTAGTGCCTTCACCTGTGCAGTAGCACTGGCTTATGCCTTTTTAGTGATACTAATGCACAGTAGACGTATCCTACTGCACATTAGCAGGGACATTGCTGTAACGCACTAATGCATCTTATGTAGGCTCACCTACTGAGGTTAAAGTCCCTAGTCTTAAAAAGACAGAGCATAGGTTTGAACATAATCTCACACATTCTAGGAGAGTACCCAACCCACCAAGCTGTTGGCTATTTTTAGGTAGGCCCTTCTCAATTTTGACCAGCAATTCCTTTTTGAAGTTGAGGAGCTGATGAAAATGCTGTTGAAATTGTTATGTTCCTGGAAGAAGTTCCCATTTCAGTGACTTGACTTCTTCCTGAAAACAAATTTTACTCTACTTCTTGGTCAGCTCTAACATAAACTAATTTCCTACCCTGATGGATGATGTCCTGAGAATAACTGATGTAAACCAGGGTATCGAACAACTGCCCGATAGAACAGCATTTCATTTAGAATTTCATTTTGATTTGAAACCACTGTTCCATTTCATTTAATTGAAACAGTGATGCTGTTTCAACACTGTTTTGGCATTTTGCCCGTACACTATAATGGGGAAGATCGAAACAGCCTCTCTCAACGATCGATGGGAAGCTGGGTGACAGTGACCATGAGCTGATCACCTTCACCATCTGCCGTAAAGCTGGCAAGTCAGTCAGCAACACGGAAGCCCTTGACTTCAGGAAAGCTGACTTCGATAAGCTCAGGAGGCTTGTCAGTGAGGCCCTAAGGGACTATGACCCCAGGGGGAGGGGAGCTCAAGAAGAGTGGTCGCTCCTCAAGGGAGTGATCCTCAATGCACAAGTTAATTCAGTTCCATCTCAGAGGAAAGGCAGCAAGAGGGCACAGCAGCCCCCCTGGCTCTCCAGGGATCTAGCAGACCTCCTGAGGCTAAAAAGAAAGGCCTACAAAGGATGGGATTCACCTCTAAGGAGGATTATTCTGCACTGGTCTGGTCCTGCAGGGAGCAAACCAAGAAAGCCAAGGCTGCAACTGAACTCCAACTAGCTCTGAGCACCAAGGACAATAAAAAGTCCTTTTTCAGATATGTGGGGAGCCGGAGGAAAAACAAGGGCAACATTGGACCCCTGCTGAACTAGATGGGACAGCTGACAACCGATTCCCAGGAAAAAGCAAACCTATTAAATGGGTACTTTACGTCGGTCTTTCATCAGTCCGATGGGATGCCCATGCCCATCACGGGACAGGGTGGTCTGGGTGAGGGAGATCCCCTGCCCTCCATTAATGCTGACCTTGTGAAGGAACACCTTGAGAAGCTGCATACCTTCAAGTCAGCC